CTCTAATAAGACATTCAAAATGAATTTATGGAGGATAATTACCATTTAATGAACACGTATAGGCAGTCTAATAGGTTTCTCGTAATACGTGAGAAGCTAGGACGAATCATAAATATGAGAAACTACGTCGAGGAATGCTGTTTCGTTTAGGGGTACTTCATGCGCAGTAAGGTAACTTCTCATGCTAAACACTTGGGGGAAAAATTCTCTGAATTGCAAAATTCAGCAGGTTGCACAACGTCTATCGAGATCCACAATTTTACATACCACAGAAATCAAACGTTCATATAGCGAAAGGAAAATACGATCCAAGAAGCAGCGCCATCTAGGATTTATCTAAAAATGTTGGCTAACTAGAGTTAAGATATACAGGGTGATTTGAAGCTTCCTAATTTATAACACGTTTCGAAAAATGTTTCACATAAAAGTTTATGTTAGTCACGAATCTTCTCTAGGTGGTCTGAAGGTGATCCAAGATGGAAGGTCATCATCTCAAAATTAATTTACTATCTCGATTTTTCAAAGTTATCCAAAGTTGTTCAAGAAAATTTAATATTCTTCAAAACCTTCGTTGTACAGTCAAAAATTATTCCCTATTTCCTGTATTTGACACTAAAACTACCAATCTATAATCAGCATCTATATATAATATGTATTATTGAGTAATAATTAATGATTAATTAATTAAAGCAATAAAGTAAACATAAAAAAGCATATGTAATTACGACCACATTCGAATAAAAATCAATATTAATTTTGCAAAAGCAATTGCATACTCTCAGCAATTGCAAAGATAAAAGTATAAAACAAGTCATTTTCACCCCTTTGGTAGTTCCAGTATTAAAAGGACGACCTTCGACATTGATGGACTGATTTATTCTGATGAATCTCCAATATTACCACATTTGAAATATTTTTCGAAACAATGTACAAATTAGGAGACAATTTCACGCGAAACTTCAAATAGGTCACCTTGTATACAATAATACAATATGTTCCTCACGAGGCCACGAATTCTGGCTTACTACAATCTGACAACTCGCTTATTTTTATTTATTAAATACTATTCAACCATTTTTTGTTTTTTCTTTAATCTCTTGAATTTAAAAATTAAACTGTCACCCACATATGGGTATTTACCATAACAAAAATTACACATAACCATACAAACAAATAATAATCACCGTAATTAACTATATTAATTTAAAAAAATGTATAATTATATTATATTATCCATTTGGATCCCAGGAGTCATTGAAAAAGGATTGTTCAATATAAATTACTGAGAAAGTAACAAGAGAAGTACAAAATGTATTACTCGAATATATAGAGCACAGTCAATTGTCCATATATCTTTCAAATGTAAGAGAACTTTCGACACGAAATCTAAACAGCACGATCGCACTGCGTGGGATCCGAACGGTTATGTCATATACTATATAAAACAATATTAATACAGAAAATAAAGCATCGTAAACATGCCATGCGAAGGAAGCACAATATCGAAGGCCAACAATAACCTGAAAAACACACGGACAGAACAAACGCAGAACCGAGGGTTTACCTAGAGGTCCCTTCGACTTCCAGAGTCCCTTCATCAGCGTGGGGTCGCCGTGGCGCGTGTGGCGCCACCCTCGGCCCTGACGAGCTGGTCCAACGGACCGGCTTGTGCCACCGCCGGCGGCACCGCCACCGGCCCCACCGCCGGTACTTCCCCCGGTCACACCGAAACCAACCCCGCCGCTGCCACCGGCGCCGCCGGTACCAGAGCCAGAGGCACTGCCGCCAGCGGCGCCGAGAGTACTGCTCGCGCCACTGCCAGCTGTGCCACTGCCGGGGCCCGGGGTGCTCGGCGGGCCAGCCTGCGGCTGTCCATGGACCCCCGCCCCGCCACCGCCCTGTGGCAACGGCACTCCCGCCGCTTTTTTATCCAAAGCAGCGTGAAAAAGCAACATACGCCGATCAAATTATTATTCCGCACTCCTGGATCGGTGTGGTCGTCTTGAGGTGGGGGGAGCTGGCCCGAAACCCGATTTCTAGACTCTCGACGACCCAAACTTCGCCAGGTCTCGAAACTTTCGAAACACTACACGTGTACTTACTCTTGTGTTCCTAATAAGCGGGCAATCTTGTCAGGAATTTGAATTATAATAACTTCCTTTATATATTCTATTCTAATAACTATTATAATAACTTTTATAATATAATTGTACAATTAAATGGAATTCAAATGCATCGAGTGGAGTATAATTTGAATTAACGAAAAGCGAAGAAATATAGAAATTTATATGGGTTTCGAGAGTTTCGAATATTGAAAATAATAAAGAATTTCGAGTTTCGAGTGTCCCATCCCTAGGTATGGGGTACTTTGGGGTATATTGGTCGGGGTACAAGATCTTGTTGCGAGGGTGTACACACCTGACGAGTTCGGATAGCTTGGTTCCCTAGCTTGGTATGGTACAGGTATAGTGAGGTCGTAAAATCGATAGGTGGTCTAAGTGATTATATTTCGAGTGTTCGAAGAAAGGGATTGATAGCGGTAGGGTTCTATGGGGACAAGAAATTTAGGTACGAGCCAAGGCCGTACCTAGAAATTTTTGTGACCGGGTCAATGTACGGTATTACTGAATTAATATTCATACAGGTTACCCACCCATTTCATTTGAATCGAGTTTATATTTGAAAAGATAATTTGGAAGAACTGGCAGTGATAAAGGACAGTGATAGTTGATGCCATAAAAATTACGAAAATGAATGAAAAATTCATTTAGAAGGTATACAAACTAGATCAAAGAGTCGCAGGAAATTATCAGAAGCTTCGTTCTTTACCGACTTCAAGACGTCTTACAAAATCGTTAGGTGTATACACCATAATGGAGCAAATCGAGGAAGGAAAGTTGTTGGTAGATGGGATCGTGCTCCTTTAATCACTGCGAGAGCAGTTGATTTCGCTCCTGGCAAATTTATTCGATAAAGAAAAGTTTCTCGCGAGCGTAACTCGAATTTCCATGCAAAGAGATCGTTATGCCTCGTTTGCCACGCCGATAAGTATAATCTCCGAATAAATTTGCCAGGCTCTAGAATCTCTCAGTGCCAGTTCATTTGCATGCAGAACCGCTAAGAAGATAAGAAAAAAATCTATTTTGCAGTGTTATAGAAACGAAATTCATTTCACCCGGAACTTTGCACGTTTGTCACTGAAATTTTCACGGCACCGTTAACGCATACCTGTTGATGGTCACACAAAAGCATTAATTTTATCATACGAAAATGGCGCAAAATGTTGAAAGAAAAATAAATTTATATATCTTCATATTTCTCACTTAGAAATATACACTATAGGGCTGTACTTTCTGTTAAATGGAATACTGAATTTTCTTGATTCAAAAGTAACATATTCCCAGTAAAATTTTACCAAAAAACAAAAAAAAAAAAAATAAAATAAGATAAAGAATGAAAATACTATTATATAATTTGCTTATAAAGAATGAAATTAAAAGAGAAAAACTGCTACATTGAAAGTTGTATTTTAATATCTTTTCCTATATACCTCAGTATATATATGTAAGTTGAATTTTTGGAAATAAATGTAAAAAAAAATGTTAATAAATGAAGACCGATTGAAAGGAACGATGATATAATTCATTGAAATTTCAACTATCTTCAATTTTCCCGTCTTGCCAGAAGATTTTTACGGCCAATGCACTCTGTAACAGTAATTCCTCTCCTAAACTTTCTTATCACTTGGACGCAGCGCGACTGGTATACGTAATTAATCCTGAAGGAACGAACTTTAACTGCTTTGGAACTGCCCTGACTTAATTAAATTTTTCGAAACAATAACTTTGTGTTTTAAGAAAGTCCACCGTGGACTGCACAATAACCGAATATTAAACGGTTTTAAAACGTTGTAATCGCTTGCAAGATTGGTTATGAACGCAAAACGCACTAATTATAACCTTTTCTTTCATACCGAATTGAGATTGGCACCATAAACAACTGTTTATTTCATTCTAAAGATAAATTTTCGTCGAACAACGTTATACTTTGCCGTTGCACGTTATCCCACAGAATACTTATATGTTGTATAGGCAACTTACCGCATAAGCAGAAGAGTAAAGTACTGGCAAGGAAGATCCACCCCATAACGTCATCAACAAGTCGTTTCCGTGAAGTTCATGTTACGCTGAATATCTCCGTTTCTGTCTGCTGATTAAACTCGATGTTGACTTAAGCATTTAAGTGGAAATTTCTGTGAAAGAAAAATATTCGTATGGTTAGTATTCTTGGTTATGACGGTCGAGTGTTCGAAATGCTATGGCGTCATCGTAAAGGCAATATATTAAACCAATTCAATATTAATAAATATTGGAAAGATACCTTTGATTCTATGATTTATTGAAACCGTATCCGCGAGCAATTTCAATGTATGAATTCCACAAAGATGTTTAATCGGTATGCACTGATTTAAATGCAAATATTAATTGAACAGATTCGATTACATTCCGCGATAATCTCTTCTATTACACAACCTTTTATGAAATGACTTCCCGCCTTTATCGAGCATGTAACTACCGCTATGAGCGCGCTCTATCGCAGAAATTGAGAAACAGATTTATTGCATATTTAAATATAATAAATATACAATATTATTTCTTTCATAAAACGATAAATTACACAAAGCTGTATATATTTCACAATTTTTGTAGCTGATTAATAAGAAAGTTTTTTTAAAGTTTAAATTAAAAAGTGATGTGTTATACCAAATTGAAATTTTTCGTCTTTGATTGGTCGATTACGACGCCACCACAAGAATGTGGTTAAATTCGAAACAAATTTCCACCTGTTGACAATGGTGCTTACATGACTCATGTGATCGTTCGTAATATGTAGTGCGGCGTTTAACAAGAATTCTGCGTCTTTAGTATGTTTAGAACAGTGAGTTTAATACAATTCTAATAGACATTCGCGATGTGACGACTATAACAAAAGAAAACATAATGGAACAAGTATTCACTACCGCTGACAAATTGTCAGAAGTGATTAGAAATATGCAGAAATGCTTGCAATGCATAATCTGGTAAATTTCTAATTTATTTATAAAGATTTTATTAAGTGTATATGCTAAAATATAAATTTGATACATGTGATTCATTCTATATATTAATTTATGTTAAGATCAATTTATTTTTAGAAGTGATTTATATAGGTTATGTTTGTCATAGTTTACTTTTGAGTATTTAGTAGTTTTAAATGAATAGAATAAAATAAATATATTCTTTTAGTGGATTGATTTTGTAGACCAAACTTCTAAAATTTTATTTGCAAATTAATTAGACAGATGTTGAACCATTATATGAAAACGATGAATTAATTTCTTAAATCATTTGTATTCATATCATATTTTTATTTTGTGATGTTATGTACACTGCAAATATAATTATATTTTAAATACATAATGTATTGTTTTTACATCTATATTATAGCTTATAGTTTTAAATCAAGTAATTTATTTTTTTATGTGAAATTATCTAATAATAAATTCTTTGTTTTCAAAAGTCAAAAGCTTTTCTTTCCAGAATAGACGTTATAAAAAAAGACTGAAAGAATAGAAATTAAGAATAAAAAAATATCTTGAACTTATAAAAATATTAATTACATTTATTATTGTACAAACAACTCGTAACAATGACTAAGATCTTATATAAAAGTACGCCTGGAAAATGTTTTAATGTACGTACATACATTATTGTATTTTATACATTTATACTTTTATATATATATTTATATGTATAAAAATAATTGTTGAAAAAGATATCACGTAATTATTATTACTAAAAAGTGATACGTTCTAGTTATAGGCTTTTAACTTTTTAGTAAATCTTAATGAAAGCCACATATTACATTAAACTTATTGCATTATTGTCTTTTTTATTTATAAATTTGTGTAAATGATTGATTTATATGTGTTAGTATGTAAAAAATTAATGAAATATGTTAAGATTAATGACTCAAAGCAGCAAATTGTAGCGTATAGTAAAATACATTATCAAATCTTAGTGACTTTGACATACCAAATTTTCACTTTTCTTATCTTTGTCTACTTTACTTCCGTTAAAGAATACTCAAAACTATGTAATTTTATATTACATGAATTCAAATTTATATTATAATATATATTGATACTTTTATTTATTCTTTTTAAGATAGTTGGAATCCAATTATGTAATAGATTATATATTTTTATGTTTCAGTCTGCATACTATAACCAATCCAATAAAAACTATTTGTGGACATCGATTTTGTCGTGAATGCATTCTAAAAGTGTTGAAAACTGAAAATACACTCTGTCCACTTTGCAACAATACTTTACAGCGTCGCAGTATTTACACGGACGAACAAATGGTGATGTACATCGATCGATTCCAGGATTTGATAAATGGAATTAAGCTTGACTCAGGCATCGACAGTAAGTGCTTATCGATGTTTTCTCTTTTTTATCGAACAGATATCTGATAAATCGTATTTAATTTTTTTTTTTTTAAATATTACCGTTATCATTAAAATTGATTACAGGATCAAGAAAACACCGACACGCATATGCTAACTCATTTAACACGTTGACTGTCACATACTTTTTATATGGTACTCTCAGGGGGCACGATGAAATTTCTAATATTCTTAAGACATTAGGAGAAATTATCAAACCATATGATTAAAAAAACGAAAGAATAGTATAAATTAATAATATTCTCTATCCAAAGTTCTCTATTTATTTTCGTTGTTCAAATTTTCAAAAAATGATTAAAAGAAAACAAATATAAATTAAAAAATTAGTATCACGGGTCACTGATAACGACCGTGGCAGTCAACGTGTTAAGGAAAACGTTATGTTATGTTAATTACTGTAATTGTTGGATGGTCGAAATGTGTTTGAAATTTTATGCTTTGAAACAAAAGAAACAAGTTTTATTTCATTGAAACGTGTTTTTTTTATAAGATGCTTTATTTCTAATGAATATTATAATAATTTTTGTTGCTTTTGATCATATGAGAAAATATTATATCATATTAATTAAAATTCTAATATTTATTAATACATTCATTGAAGATAAGATATTCATAGTAAACGTCACATACTTTCATTAAAATCTGCAGAAATAGCGGAAATATAGTCAGCTTGTAAAGATATACTATTATCAATTACATAAAAATATTTTTATAGAACTATATACAATGTACAAATTATATTTGTACATTTTTTTATAGCCGTGTAGGAAATGTTTCTTTTGATTTCCACTTCTGTACAAAAAAATTTGAATTTTTTATAGGAAAAATATAAAATTCATTATTCATTTGTAGAACAAGCTCTTTCAACAATACAATAAGGTTTAATATGCACACATTTCAAACGCTTCAATTGTTTCAATGACGACGCTTTTATTATTCCAAATACTGATCATACAATTTTACAATACGGTCAGTATTAAAATTCATCGAATAATTCGCGTATTTGATCAATCAATTTTTCCCCCCCCCCCCCTTTTGTTTCAAAAACCTCGCATTACAATGCATCTTACGTTGCATCATGCGTGTAATTTATGATGCAATTCATTTTTCAACCCCTCGAAACGGTGCACGGTATAGCACGTGAAACAAATATCAATTTATCCATAAAATAAATATACCATCAGCATACGTGACGTTATACAGGATGAGTGACACAATGGGAACGGATTATACCTTAAATTCGGTAACACATGAAAATAATCCATAATAAATCTGCAGGAAAAATTTTATCGTATAATAACATCAATTTTTCTACGACTTAACTCGGAACGAGAATTATCGATAAAATTCGGATTATAACGAAGGAAATATTGACACTTTGCATCCCAGAAATTTTTGGATAATTCGTCAGCATCTTCCCTGCAGCTTTCTTGGGACCAAAAACATTTTATTTTGGAAGGAGGGAAGGTATAGTCGTAGTGAAAAATGTTTGAGCTTATTTACACGACGATTTCCCGCTTTTTCTGAGGATTTTTATTGCCGGAAATAGAAACGAATGACGACTTGCACGTTATCAACGTCGTCATAGACGATCTTTTGTCGAAGGAAAAATCGGCGTGGAGGAATTCGCGAGCAGAAAGAAATATCAGCAGGGTGATAAATTTCTCAACGTGAGGCAATACGTTTAAAAGGAACTAACGTTCCTTCGCGATAAACTTTTTCACCGTGGCCTAAGAAAAACATGAAGCTTAAAGTACACGTGCTGTACATGCGCCACAACATCATGCTCGCTCGGGTCAACTATCCGTTTCTACCGGAGTGGTAGCCGAGCCTTTGAAAAATTTAATTCCCAGTGTTGTTCGGTACCCCGATCCTCCTCGATGGTATCCAAAACTTCAATGTTTTACTACCACTTCGCGTTTATGTTCTTGCATACGATCGAACCTACGAAATTTTGGCGAGTTTCGTTGCTTGAAAGTTTCACATCCAAACGCTTTCCCCTTTTCTCGAACATTTTCGACGTATGCATCTAGAACGAGTTGTACTGCCAGTACGACTTGGACGAAATTCTTATTTTGGTGAAAAAAGGGTGTGAGAAAATGTATTATTTGAGAATGTAGAATTAGTTTGCAGACAGGAGTGAAATATAGAATTTTAGGAAATTAATAGTTCTTTAATCAGTGATATTTGGTGTGAATATTATGTTAATAGATTTTAGTAACTTCTTAATTGACTTTTCTTAAAATATTTTTAGTATTAATTTAGTATTAATGGTATTTTGTTCTTAAATTGTAGTAATTTTATGCGCACTTAGTGCCTTTCCTTAATATCCTCAGTGTACAAAATGAATTAAAGATATTTTAATGTTATTACTAGATTCTACAAATTTTATTAGCATCTAGTTATTTTTGTAAATGTCTTTTCTTCTTTTTGGTAGGAATATTATCTTAATAGATTTTAGTAACTTTTTAATTGATATTTCTTAAAATATTTTTAGTGTATTAAGAAGGTTAATGGTATTTCAATATTAATGCTAATTTGTTTTTAAATTGTAGTCATTTTATTGGCACCTAGTGTCTTTCCTTAATATCCTCAGTGTACTAAACGAATTAAAGGTATTTTAATGTTATTACTAGATTCTACAAATTTTATTAGCATCTAGTTATTTTTGTAAATATCTTCTCTTCTTTTTGGCAGAAATTTTTCAGTAAAAATCACTCGGTGACACGAAACTATAATCGATTGTATGTATAGTAGCGTAGGGGTTGAAATCCTGGGGGTCAGTGACTGGAGCAAGTAAATTGCCAAGTGGTGGATGCATCAGCTGTGCCTGTGACTCTTAGGGCATGAAATCTGCCGGTCAAGCATGATCATATGAGTCACGGACGCGTGTGCTAAGTGGTTAAAGAATGGAAGTTCACGTTCGATCAAAGGATCGAGTTCCTTTGACACTCGAATCGTTCTAGTTGATAAATAACGATTGAATTAATTTCGATAATGATCTACAAAATTTCTCGTGTCACTTCAATTGGCCAATTATGCGTTACATTATTGGCAAATTTATAACAGCATAACATTGTAAAGCCAGCTCGATGTTGCTTGTTTCTCGAGACACAGGTCATAGATTAATTCTCCGAACCCTTTTCCCTGGCACGCTCCCAACTCTGACTTTTCCCAAATGCATTCTCGTGCTTGCATTCCCTGGTAGCAACATAACACACTTGTTCGAGCTTCTATAGTCGTAAAACCAAACAGCACTCCTTGAAGCTATTATTAATAACAATGTGGAACATCCAACTTCGTGCTCTAATAGAAATTTTAATCCTCTTAGCTAACGCCTTAATGGGGATTTAAAACATTCAACTCCTGACTGCGTTAAAAATTCATGTCATTTTACCCTAAGCTTTATTCAAAGTTTATGCTACTCTCCTACACGCTTCAATCACAATGCCAAACATTAGACTTTAAAATTAGCTTATACCATTCTAGGAAAATAAAAGTTTAGAGCAGTACGCTATGCATCCTAACAAAGATTAATTCTTTTCCTGATCATTGGACCAAAACCACTCAGAAGTACCAAGAAACAATTGTCTTTGAGTCTCAAAATATAAATAGCTGATCAAAAACACTGTCATCAAGATATTAATTACTCTGGACTATGATAAGCTTCATCCTTCATCGCAGAATACGATAAATTCAATGTACCTTTTTCAGTATTGTCCAATTTATCGAAACCGTACAACGCACGAGGGACTCGCAACTCAGATGACAACGAATACAACAAATTCGATGACGAGGATGGGATCAAACCGAGCTGCTCGTACGCCAAGCACAACGCACAATGGAAACAACTGGATCTTCGGTCGAATTTAAGCACAAGGCTTGAAAGAAAACCCAGGAGTCAGAGAAGTAAAAGAAAGACCGAGCCGCGAAAAATCACGAACACCATCACGAAGTACATATCCGCGTGTGGCCTCTCTGGCATAGAACCGTTAGGTCCCGACGAGTTGAGCGAAAATTCAAACGATAAATCCACGACCAAAGTGCACGGCTGGTTAGAGACTTTACCGGATAATGAAATGTTAGACGATCCTACTAATATGGCAAATGTCGAATCTACAGAGGTCAATTTGGACGACACCCTGCCCATCTCAGTGTCCCAAAATGTTGCGAATATGGAGACGGAGAACGTGGATAAAGTCAACGAACTCTCTGTCGAAGCAGTAATGCTAAGTAATGCTCGGCAATCCATGATTAAACAGTTACCCGAGAGTTCTTCTAGGAACGAAAATAACTCGACTGGTAGAAGGGATAGCAAGGAGTCCTCTAATACGGAGATTGTGCAGAATTACTCGTCAAGGATGGATTGCGAGACGGAGAATGCTAAACCAGGCCCACCAGCAGTGACGAAGTCGAAAGACAACGAGAAAGAGAAGAGCGATGATAAATGCAACGATGTGCATAGAACGTCACCCTGCGACATGTTGTCTACCATGCAGCAGAACTGGTCCATGGTGGCTAAGTTTGGCAAGGAGATGCGCACGAAGAGGAAGAAATTAAAGACGTTGAACGTGAGTATCGAGAACAAGAGGAAACCTCGACCGTTGGATGAACCAGGGGCAGAGCTGGACGAATGTGAAGTTAGGTCGAAAGTGATGGATGGCACAGGGAGAAAACGAAGAAGAGGGAGTACCAAATCGAAGATGGCTAAGTACATTGCGAAGGCTGTTGTGCACGAAGGATTCATGGAAGGCAGGGAACGAGCAGGAAAAATGGAAGAAGTTCGCGTGAGAAAAGGGTCCCCGAGTAAAGAGAGGGACAGATCGGTGTCAGGGGAAGATCAGCAGAAGGACAAATCCTTTATCTCGCTGAAAGACGACGAGCCGAAGCACGTGGAGTATCTGGAGGGTCAGATCAACGACATTATCGGTGTCACGAGCAGCGATCGACGAGCAGGCACGAAGAAAGATGTGGCTAATAATCGCGAGGAAATAACGATTGGTAAAAAGGGACACGTTGAAGCGTCCGACTTGGATCTTTGCGATCGATTAGAAATGCCTCTCCAAATGATTTCAGCTAAATTAAGTGGTCGTGGAGATTGGGAGAGTCTGGTTGGAGAATTGAATAGTAAGGTAGACGGTGGACCTACAACTCCAACGAAGGGGATCGATGAATCTCATTCCATGTCGAAAACTTCCTTGGCAATTCGTGGAAGATTGTCTCTGAAGAGACCGACTACCGATGCTAAATCGAACGATGCTGTCAATTCGAACGTTGTCTCGCGGCAGCAGGTTAGACGCGATCTGAGTCATCAGATCGATCAGGATGAAGGAAACGACGACGTTGGTGAGAAGAGCGTGGAGGGAGTGTCTAAAATAAAAAGACGTAAGTCTTCTGCAGGTGATAAACAAGATAGTAGTCGAGACAGTAACTCGACCGTTGTTTCAGAGCTTACTCGTAGCAGGATAGAGAAGGAAAAGCACAATATGTCTTTGGTCACGTTCAGAAAATTAGGGAAAACGTATAAGCAACGCAAGAAACTGGTTAACTTCTTATACCTGGGCACAACTAAACGGAATGCGACGTTTTACAACAATTACCTTGCGTACAACATGCAAAAACCTTGTAATCTTATTGATATATTTGATAGTCAGGTGTTCGGGAATGATCATGCATCTGAAAGTGGTTTTGGGAATCGAGCACGGATCACAGTGAACCCGACACCGTCAACGTGTGACCTGGAGATTGAAAATGTGCCCAAGAAGGAAATAGACTCTGAATTAGAAATGGAAGGTTCAACTAAAGACATAGAACTCGAGGATCCATTCGATGCGCAGATTCAACAAAATCCACCGAAAGAAAAGGTCTCAGTTAAAAAGACCATCCACGTCGCAAATAACCCTCAGGATCCGTATGTGCTTTTCCTATCCGCGAACGAAAACGAAGAGTCAATTCCACCGGCTGTCCAACGTCCCAATACGTCTAATAATGCGTCCGAGGGTGACGTGAAGATGTTGACGCCGACAAAAGACTCCCAACTGCAATTTCTCTCTCTAGAATCCCCTCCAATGGACACCCTTAAGACCCAGAAGCTGATGCACGAACCTGAACTCGCCACAGACGGTACTTCCAAAAGGAAAAGCGTCCTTCCACCTGACTCAGAGGTATTGCAGGAATTTCCTGATTGTACGTCAAGTAAAAAAAGGAGGAGATCAAACACTCGAGGGACGTTCTCTCGTAGAATAAGCAAGGACGACGAGGTGGATGATAGTGTTTCCAATCACAGCTTCTCGTCGCAAGTCACGTGCATCAGCAAAAAAGCCATCGCTAAGAAGAACAGTCTAATCGAAATGTATCAGTCGTCCAATCCCAGTACCAAGGACATCGAAGCCGTATCGTTGAGCTCCGATACAGGCATCGAGGATAACGAAGAAACAGACCAGAGAAAGGTGTATAAGAGGATCGTGCCATTAGCCGCTTCAGACACCGACTCCAACGACGTTGTTTGCGTAAACAACCAATCTAACGATCATCCAGCTGTCTCCTCGTCGACCAAGCGGAAACGATGCATGTCATTCGACTCGGAGAGCGAGTCAGGCCTGAACGAGATTCTGAGCAACTGGTATGCGGAAGCGAGGCTCGAGGATCAGTGCAAAAAGAAAGGCAAACTGGATCGCGCTTGTGATTCCTCTAATTCGATGAACGCGTCTCGTGCTGCTAGAAACGACTCCTCGTCGGAAGCTTGCTCGTCAAGTCGTGACGAATCGCCTAACAAGCTGTCTACCCAGCAGCGTAGAAATCCTCTCGAGCCCGCTGGTAAATCTGGCATCGAGAAATCCAGTTTGCCCAGAGCCAGGTGGAGGAAGAATATAGAGGACATGAGGGCACCAGTTGGCGATGAGGATTCGCCTGATTTTTGCGCGACGATCGATCAGATGAAGAATATCCGGAACAAGATGATTGTATCTGACGAGGGACAAGAGATCGCGAGGGAAGAGAGCCTCATGCAGGATAATCTGGACGATATCTTTGCGAATGTGAACACTGACGTGCTGGTTGACGACTATACCTGTGAGAAAGGAGGGAAATGTAAAGCTCAATCAGCCGAGTATGAGAGGGATATTAAGCAGAAAAGATTGGACGTGGAAAATGTTTCTTTGTCGAGCGAGGAACTCGCACCTATATGTTCTAATAGCTCTAATAAAGAGAATAAGAGCATTGATACCGATGTACACTGTGTTAGCGACGAGGACGACAAAACTTTGCTTTCAACGTCGACAAACGTGTCTAATAAGAGCGCAATGAGTGATAAGCTTCAGGATAAAATTAAGCCAGTTGGGGCCAGTAGAGAGTCGACGAAAATGAACAAGTCGTTGCACAATTCAATCATTTTCTCTAAGTGCACTAAGCTTTCAATTCCTGCTAACGATTCTTACGTTAAAGACACGTACGACATGGATTCTCTAATGGATATCACACAGCGTGACATGTTGCTTAGGCAATTCGAGCAGGATCTCTTTGAAAAACCTAAAAGTAACTCTTCTTCGAAGAAGCAGCAAAAGACTCCACAGAAATCAAGAAGGGATAAAGAGTGTTCGAAACAGGAAACAGAGGTTAGCCCCTTCTAGTCGTTTGCAGAATACGTGTAATATCACAAATGTAGCGTATTCATGAGGAAATTGCATGAATGTGGATGTGGACGGTGTAAACTAAAATAGAGGAATTGAAAATTGAAAATTGGGATAGAATTATTAGAGTACTCGGTGAAAGTTTGCTAATGGAGAGGTTGTAAGTATTCTGGAGAGTTTCTACTGGGGAATTCTGGACGATTTCTTGTAATTTTTATTCCTGTCTGTACAAAGAAAAGGAGCTTAGAAAATTGCAAGCTACGCATTGTGACTTTTCCATAAATAAAAATCTAAAAGATTCCTGCAGATGAAAGTTTCTATAGAAAAATTAGAAAGCCTGCTCTAGATTCATGAGTTCTCTGTGGAGAAAAATTTAAAAAGTCGTTATAGAAGCCATCCAAAGGCTTATGAGACCTCTCTTTTGTATCGCAACAACGCCTCCTTCGTCTTTCTTCATGAAGCTCTAATAACTCTCTTAACCCTCTTTCAACTCCTATATACTTAATTATTTCAATTTGCTATAAACATTTCAACGGATTATTTGCCAATGATGGTTCCACACCGTTGGCAACAACGGATAACAATGATTGTCAATTGCGAAATTTAACAGTTAATTTTGGAGAAATTTGATTCACCGTAATATCGAGTAATAGTTTGAAAAGTTGTGTAAATTAATATTACTCATGGTGTTTAACTGGTGATTTCATCGCGCACCGTCGCCATCCATCCCGCTACTTACGAAATAAACAAGACCCTGCATTCTCAAAGACTCACTCTCTGCTTTAAAATATCCAGGACGTCGAACACTCGGGTGAAGAAGACGACATTGTCGAGAACACTCCTGACACAAAGACGAAAAAGTAAGTAACACGAGTCTCTCTTAACATCCATTCTTCTTTAACCGGTTTCCAAAAGCATATTACTCGGTTAATTAACAAAATTACATGCAAACGCATTTTTAATTATCGCGTTCGAATTTCGTGACATGTATTTTGGTAAAAATTGGTATCGATAGATCCAAACGCAGATCGAAGCATCACCAAAGATTTTAAAATTTCCCCGCTTTCTATACCAAAATAAAAATATATATTTATATTTTATATTTATATACACGTATCAAATGTTCTATTTGTTTATTAGATTACAACTAGTATTAGTTTATTATAACAAAACTATAATTAAACTAATATTAGTTTATTATATTTCAAATGTGAAATAATCCATTACAAATGGCATAAAGTATAATAGAAGGTGTCTCCAAGATACAAGTTACCACAATTAATATCACTCGCTGTCTAATGAAAAAATCATTGAAAACGAAGAAAAGAAACAGCAAGTCATCCCTATCGCGTCACCAAGATAGCCCCTTCCTGTGATCTTCCACGCTTACACAAAAGAGGCAGATCACGCTTCAGGATACTTCAACCCCTCCCAGCCACAGCGCTATCCATCCCCAAAGGTATTCTACATATCAAAGACCATTTCACGTAACGAGTACCTCTTCTTCCGACCAATCCGCAGCATGCAAGCGTTCACTTCGCCACCAGGGAGCTCGATAGCATCGTCAATCTCGAAGATCACCGTACGACCATTCTTAGGCAAGAGCCCGTCGTCGTCGACGGGGAAGAGGTCGGTCAGCATCGGAATGCCCGGCTGCAAGAGAAACATCCAGCCCCTTTACCAGAGTACCCCTAAATCGCAGAAGTCTACCATGTTCAGTACCAACTGCTTGAGCCGAAAGTCTCTTCTCGTCGCGAATGAATCGTCGAGCAAACAAACGAGGAGGAACATCGTTCGGGAGAACATCGATCAGAGCGTTAAGAACGCTCAGAATGTCGGCAGACAGAGGTTATGTTTCGTTTGCAGCTGTCTGCCGCAGTTCGAGAGGACAGAGGTGAGGAGATTAGCGGAAATGTTCAACGGGAGATACGTGGCGCAGTTTGATCGCGACGTGACGCACGTGATCGTGAAAGCGGACACGGGGAACAACGGGGCGAACAACACGTTGAAATACCTGCAGGGTATCGCCCATCGTAAATGGATCGTGACTTACGAGTGGGTGGTGAACTCGCTGCGAGAGCGCAGGTTGGTGAACGAGGAACCCTACGAGGCTGTGGACTCTAGAACTCTCGAGGCTGGCCCTCGCAGGTCGCGGCTCAGCGAGAAGCGCCTGTTTGAAGGGTTTATGTTCCTCTGCATAGGACCCTATTCGGACGTGTCTGTGGAACAGTATAGGGTAGGTGTATCTTCCTCGTTCAGCTCTTTTGCCTGATTAATTCGAGGGATGCTGACTATTATTCCATCTGTTGAATTGTTATTTTCAAAAGATTATTTAAGAATTATTTGAAGAAAGATGTTGGAATAGTTGTACGTCGATGAGGAACGAAATAGCAAAGAATTATAGCACTCCAAAGATCCTTCTTCATAGGGTACGACTTCTCTTTGAAAATGATTTCCAGAATTATTCTGTACACGTTTGAAATTCTTTGCATTCGAATTCGCATTGAAATCCCGATCTAAGGTAGCCTTTTATTTACATCTTCCAATCTTCCTAGGCTATTTCAAGCGGAGTACTCGGCAAGTTTTAGAGTTATTGTGTCTTATAGGACTTGGTACGCGCTGCGGGTGCCACTGTGGTCGAATCGTTAGACGCTCTAGCCGCTGAGAAGAACATGCTGAAGATCATCGTCATCCAGACAGACATTTACGAGTATGAAATTATCGGTAAGTACATCTTCGCAATTAGGCGAGAAGTTGGTCAGACACGCGTATGAACTATGGTTAACCAGTACTTGCAAACATTAATTGGAATTTTTCTTTCCTTTTACATTTGCTTCAGCAGAATGGTTCAAGAAAGCTCAGGCCGTAGCAATTGTCCACGACTGGGTAGTAGAGTGTATCAGTCAGTATCAATTGATATCGTTCTTTCCATACATGCAGGAACTGACACGTCATGATGTTCTATCACTCGGTTACCCAGAAAACCTCGTCGAAGAGCTTGAAGGAGAGTCTGAAAGCACGTGCGACATTACGTCGTGATACTCAATGAGGGTTCATCGCCTTCAACCTAACGCTCGAGCATTACTCACTCCTGCTAATTTGTTCGATTTATCCCCCTGTCAGTGCCAAATTTAACAACTATCTAACTATACCTATAACTTACTTTAAGAAAGTTTATATGTTTAGTTTGTTTATCCGAGTATACTTGTCCTCTGCAGCAGGATTGCTTGTTACATCATGATACGAGTGTAACGTAAAAGAGGATATTCATACGCGTCTAATTTTTGTTAGTAGTTAGTAAGAACTAGTATCTTGATTATAATTACACTTTGTACAAACTGAAACGTAGAGCTTAGTTTTGTAAGAGAAAAGGGACTACTAACCAAAAGTAAGGCTGAACGAGTTATACAAATAATACCTGGTAACAAGTTCAAGCCACAGGCACGCAATACGAGAGCACCTGGCACATGTACATGTATATGTGTATGCACATGTTCAGTCTTTCTATCTACACCCTCTTACTCGCGTCATATCTATTGTTAGCCACCCAATTTTCGTCGTTTCAAATTTTGTAATTACACCAAAACCATAAGATATAGCCGGCAGCAAATGGGGTATGTAGGGCGAGGTATATGGTGGTGCTTAGAGCGTGCAATATCATGATCATGGGTGGGTTCAGGGGCTGCGTGTTGCGAGGGGCATTCAGGCCACTCACGTATTCACGGGCACATGCGAACAATATTGATTTGCCCGGGACCACCTGTAGGCAACTCTCGTCTGGCGTTCTCACACATATACACACGTGCATACACATGTATATATATATACACGTACATAGTATCAGCGGTTATGAATCTCGTCCAATTGCCAGCAAGCGAGGAGAAATAATCACTGTGTCTGTTGTGCTCTCTCGTTTGGTGCACTTTAAGTATCTTAAGCGCGTTGCATTTAAGTTCAGAAGGTTAATGATTACGACCGACAATTGTCTACATTTTGTGTTCTTCCATCATTACCTTTTTTTTAATCTCTTTTTTATTTTTTTTGCCATCCAAATGTGTGTGGTCGTTATAGTTGTATGATTGGATGAAATGCATTTGTATATATTAGGAAACCTGGTGTTCCATTTCGCAGTGGCATAGATTGAATATGTAATGATTCGTTTCTTTCATATTCACAAAATTGTCAATTTGTATCGCTGGCTTAACTGCAATTAGTTCATGGTACAGAAATTGTACGTTGTGATACTAATTCGTTGACCATACTAGTGATATATTCTGGTGCTTGATGTAAGTTAACTCTTAAGTTGTTTTATAGGGGCCAGACAAAATATATTATATATATAATTTTGTTGAAAAAGTATGGATAAAATACCGAACAAATTACCTTTTTAATTTTGTTCCCGTATCTTAGAGTTTCATAACGTTCATATTTTCTACAAAATTATTGCAGAAACTTTGTAGGGAACATTATTCAATCGCATTACATTTTTTAATGTAAGAATAACAGTGCAGTATTGACTCTTCCAACCTTCTTTTATTTTTATGTGATTTCTACTGATCCTAAGTGGCCATCGAATTATATACTGTACACGTTGAATTTTCATCGAGAAATATCTAATTTCCGTTTAATAATGATCAGTGAATAAAAAATATTTTCTAGTAAGTTTTCTTTTCATTTCAGAAATATTTCTCTCAGAAATAATTTTAACAATTAAGCGAGGGTACTCCGTGCATGTATCATCTCGTGTTATCTATTCTTCGAGCACCCGTAGATCATAAATTATGTTTTCTTGGGAAGAAACGTTGTAACGGAAGAAAAATGGATCCTCCCCTATCACGTGTTGCTCTCTTATGTTAAAAAAGGGTCTAAGGAAAAGTAGGTTACCATGAAAGTAAATATTCTTCCTATAGGGAGGATGAATGGTATGTTTCATCATTGAATCGTATCTTTTCTTTCTCTGTCCTTTAACAATGAGAAATGGTCGTTGATCTTTGCTTTAACCTTGAAATCATTTGTAGGTGATCACTGTTATGGCATCATCGCTCAGAGTCACTCAACGTTCATCAAGATCGTGACATTGTCACACTAGGTTACCTGAAAGTCATTCAAGGCACCGTATCATCGATTAAGGTTACACGAAAATCATTGAGATCATTATATTATCATTAAAGGCAACGAAATTATCTATATATAAATTACTCGAAGGTCATAAAGGTCTCGAAATTGTCACTCAAGAACACCTCAGTGTCAGCAAGGTCATCCAGGTCAATGTACCATTACCTCAAGTCATTCGAAGATTACAAAAGGTCAACCATGGTATAAAGTTACACGTGATTATGACACTGTCATTCAAGGTCACTCAAGAATCATACCTGAGCATTAAGGTCTCGCCAGTCGTGTCAAAGACTATCGAAAGACGGATAAAAATGAAAACGACCAGAGAAGAACCGTATTCTAAATTCGATCGTGCATTTAAATCGCAAATTTTCGTAAACCCCATCGAATCGAAGCTTTTGCGTTCGGAATTCGCAACGTTATCTGCCGCATTATCCTACGGCAGTATTAAAGATCAACTCGTACGGAGACTGCTCAATATCGGCATAACGTTGCTCGAAACGGTTGTCGAATTATTCACCGAATCGAAGGCAAGCTATTCTACCGCCCTAGCTCGGTGTACGTTGGATGTTTGCGAATCACTCCCGATTGTGCATAGTATTGGACGTCTCTATTGTACGGCATGCCGTGTACATTGGAGCAGTATACACCGAATCGCGTCCATTTATATTCTAAGGAGTACAATCTTGATACAGCGCGAGTGTCAACAGTTCCGTCTTTTAAAACGGCAAGTTATGGGGCTCGCAAAGGAAATTCTATCGACAGTTTCTTCGCATTTAATTCAGTAACCTGTACGCGTGGCTAGACTCGCCGTGTAAATCGATTTTATACGATTGTGTCAGCGTGCCTTTCGTTATTAATATTTCCATGATTTATTTCTCGCGATCTCTGTGAAAATTCACGAGAGGGACTTCATATTTCATTTTATTTTATTGCAATGAAGCTCGGATATTTTAATTTAACAGAAAAATATATTTGTAACGTAACATTGAATTTTGAGATTAGGCAATGTTCGACTGATTTAATTGTTTAATATTTCCATGATTTATTTCTCGCGATTTGTATAAAAATTTTCGAAAGAGAATTTATATTTCATTTTATTATATTGCAATGAAGCCTGGATATTTTAATTTAACAGGAAAATATATTTATAGTGTACAATTAAATTTTAAGATTAGGCAATGTTCGACTACTTTTAATTATTTAATATTTCCACGATTTCTATGAAAATTTACGAGAGAGAATTTATATTTCATTTTATTTTATTGCATCGAAGCACGGATATTTTAATTCAATAGTAAAATATATTTCTAGTGTAAAATTGAATTTTAAGATTAGACAATGTTCGACTGTTATTAATTGTTTAATATTTCCACGATTTATTTCTCGCGATTTCTATAAAAATTTACGAGAGAGACTTCATATTTCATTTTATTTTATTACAATGAAGCCCGGATATTTTAATTTAACAGAAAAATATATTTGTAACGTAACATTGAGTTTTAAGATTAAGCAGTGTTCGACTGTTTTTAATTATTTGTTCTTTAGGAAATTTTCACGTAATGCAATGTGGTAGGATTTAATTTTTAAATTTAATTTAGATCTCGTATTTTGTTATGGATTAAATAGAATATTCTTTCACGGTACACCGTTTAATTTAAAAAATCGCGAGTGCTATTATTTGGAAGTCTGAGTGTAAAAGATGAATAAATGAGAGATGGAAATTTATATATAACTTTCGAATTGTGTTTTATCGAGCTATGTTCGAAGAGAGAAATAAATTACTGCAATCTGACGAAGAAGTATTTTGGGCACCTGGCTGAAAAATAGACCGAGTATAGAAGATTCGTATTGTGTAAAAATCAAGTCACGTAGAAGGTATTTCAAAATGAGATCATATAGTACAAACTTTATCTACGATGTAGGACTATAAGTATACGTAGAAGCTACAACATACTCGTAATATTCCACGCAAACACATCCCATCGTGCAACCTTTGTCCATGGTGTCCCTTCGCGTCGAGTTACCCCAAAAACTGCAAGTGATACTCTACATGAGGACATTTATGAAAATAATTAATAATTTTAATCTCCCAATTCCTTCTTAAATTTTTCTTTAATTTTTAATTACATTTGTAATGTCACAAGATAATCGTGTACCTAATAATCCAAATCTGACTTCGGATTCCATTTGATTTTTCAAAGGTTTGGTAAAAATTCAACTGATTATCAAATTTCAAATAAATATCTGAAATGAGATTAAAACAATCGACAATTCAAGTACCATACTTCCAGTTCTCCATTTTACACATTACAATATTAATTAAACAAAAATAAAATCAAAATTCTATCCGATATACTTAAAATTCCAACAACCTCATAAAACATCAAATTTCTACCACTCTGATTTTCTCTTACACTCCACAACAACAGCGGAAGAATAATTAAAATTCTAAAAAATTCTATACATTTTAAGCTCCCTCTAAATCCCAAAGAACATCTGCTAACAGCTAAACCGCAACAACGCCAGCTCCAGTGTTCTAATTCCAGTACACGCCGTCAACAACACCGACGTGACACTCGAAACTCTTACCGATGCTGTATACCTTAAATTCCCTCTAAATCTCATAAAACACCAGTCGACGACTAAATCCGAAGAATGCAAATTCCGCCACTCCCACTCGCTCTTGCACAATGCTGAGGAAAAAATGGCCGACAGAAATAAAGCATAAATTCCTGCGAGCGTCAGGTTAATCCTCTGAGCCACGATTAAAACATCGAACGATCCAAATCCTACACTCGTAATACCATTTTACATGCCGTAAACGGCTGCCACCTGCGGTCTGAAGGTCGAACGACAAGAGTCGAGTAGCGGAGATAAACGAGAGTCGGCCGGTCTGACGCGCGACGTACCGGTACTACTTGATGGACGTGTGTCACAACGCGGTCAATTAGGGATGGAAATGGTCGCGTACTTAATTCGATCGTGTGTGCCGATGATCA